AGTGTGCGCCAATCAGAACACAGTAAAGTGTGTTAAAGGTTAACCTCGTGGCAAATGTTGAAAAGCTGTGAGCGACAGTAGGTAAAAAACAAAGTAAATGCGGTCTAACATGACTAACTTTAATTCGGCAAGGTAGTGATTTCTATACTTCTATTAATAGTATTGGATCGCTTTGCAGGTTCTGCTTCAAATTACGGTAAACAATAAACAACGTGATCTGTAGAAATCGTAATAATTTGAACATGATTTGTCATCAGTATTATTATTTAAAAGAAGAAAATTACTACTACCATAACAATAATATCTGATCAAAATTCTCCGAAATGGAAAGTTTACCAGAATTACTGTCTGCTCTCCTCCTCTATAGGTTAAAATGTAGGCCATACGTAGGTTAAAAATGACATCGAAATTCGAAACTATACTGAATGCCCACTAGAGGTTACCTAGCTAGCGAACTAAACACAGTTTTAAAACATGATCGATCTAATAATAAGATAGGATATAACAAAACAATAAAGTTCTAACATTGTTTATTGCTAAATTACAACATTGTTCATGTGTTGAAAGCTGGTAAATTATATTTCAATATTGTTTACGCATTGTTTATCAGCCCAACGATCCAGACTACGATCATTGCAAAGCTAATTGAAATAACAATGTCCTTCGTAGTGGTTTGTAGCTACGTTCAAAACGTACCTACAAGCAGATTATGAGATGTTACGCACAGATACGAAGCGATAATTTGTGTCTGTACTGTAGGTGATCGAAGAGTGTGTCTAGCTCATTCTTTGCTCATTTCCTCGATTTCAACCAATCGTCTTGCAATATTTGTCGACTATTGACAAGACATATTTAATTTGTCTTTTGGTGCTTTTGCTATCCATAATTATTGTTTATCGTCTACTCGCTGATCCGTGGCATGGTCAAGGGCCAATCTGTTCATCGTAGAGGTACCAATGCCCTATACTGTCAGCGTGATTGTAGAGCCTAGAGTTTGCACCATGCGACAGCGTGATTGTAGAGCCTAGAGTTTGCACCATGCGACAGGTGAAAAAGTACTATTCTTCAGGGGAATAGTACAGTACTTTCTATTGCCTGCTTCTTAACCAATCAGATGCCTAGAATCTATGTATGAGGTATAAATAGGAATAAGGTACTGTAGAAAGGAATACCATACAAAATTAATCACAAATTTATGACCCAATTACAAATATTATCTAATAATAAAAACAAATATTATCTAATAATAAAAACAAATCGAATTGGTGTAAACTATATTTTTATGGGTTTCAATGGTCTTTTCATTACATTAAAAATACCAATTAAAAGGGCATCAATGACACCAACTACAACAATGTTACATACAGCTCTACTATATTCTCTTACAGGTAAATATTCTGTGTAACTAAAGGCAATGTTTACTGTATATTAAAATAAGATCCATTATAAGATGTCATTGCATTAATTTGGCATCAGTCATTATTATTCATGAAATCAGTAGTATGATATATTTTGGGCAAAGTCATTTATAAGTCATAACTAGAGCTCTGAACTCATGTAAGGCTGTGGGAATTTTACCAGCAAAATATACTGGTACCCATACTGTATAACTCAGTGTAAAGTACACATCAAACCATCCTTCCCCCACCCCTTGACCTCAATGTTAAGAGCTCATCCCCACAGTGCCGATTGCTCCCCATATGAAAATCGAAGACAGATTATAGTATTCCATTATTCCAAATATTATTCATCACCACTACAATTATCATTTTACCCTAACACTGTAGTCCCGACTACTACTATGATCATAACCATAACCACATCAAAATACGACACGTGTTGGTAAGAAAGCTCATCAAACCAATCTACCAGAAGTGTCTTCTCACAACTTGGGGTCCCACTTATTATGCAAGAAGAAATGTTTGGTTGCCTCTCACAAAGAGTATAGAAAGGAAAGAGAACACAGTCCAGTTTGAAAATACGTCACTCCCCTAGTAACAACAGAAGTCACCATCTTTTTCGTAAAGTGTGCCCTCAATCTCATGAGATTCAGCCTCAGGTAATATATTAAGGCACATTGTTTCCAAAAAATTGCATCTTGTGGAACACAGAAACAAACTGTGTAATTAAAACACCATACGCAGAGGGCGTCCTCTACAATAGCTGCGTATAAGGGCATCACTTGTTTATGCTTACCAATGTGCGTTCTGTGTTCCCTATTGATTCTATACTCTTTGCTCTCACACACAAGACTGAAAATCAAATGGCTAACTCAAACAATAAGGATAGTCCAGGGGCCCACTTATAAACAAGCAAACAGAATAGCCTGATCATTCATGCAGAATGTCCAATGGCCTCACAGATGTACAGTATGAAAATACTTAAGTTAAAAAGTCAGCATTGACTAATTTACATAATATTCGTGAGCAATACTTTGCTGGCAATACAGTACATTACAGTAATTGATGAGGAATGTGTTTGAAATTGGCTGTGAGAAATAGAGACATCATGTTGATCATTATAGCAGGTTGCCTTGTATGTAGGAAGTGAGAAGGATTTAGAAGCCAAGGCTAACACCACTAGTTATTTCCTCTTTTATTCATATCACCTTAGCACACACCTTTGATTCAATATAGGACACATAAATCAAGTTATTTTACTTACACTATTAAAACCCAATTCACAACAAATCCAGCAAAATGTATCATGCTGAAACAGAGGCATACTGTAGAAACGTGTGAATAAGTTTTGGTAGTACTGTAAACTTACATCATCAGCCTATTAAGTAACATTTCAAGATCGCTAGGGTATAATAGTCAGTGGCAGCGCTACGGGGGATAGATTCCTCATCAGGGAGAAAAACCATAGTTTGTCAGGGGAGAATAAAAAAATATTAACATATATTAAATATTAAATAGGCCTTTAAAACCTCTAAATTTTTACTACATTTTTGGGGGGGTTTTACACCCTGGACTACCTTACAAAGATTTTGAGCTACGTCCGACCTCGCCCACTTTGTTCTCGTCAGGGAAATTAGACCCCCACCCCCCATCGTAGACCTTGGACTCCCCGTCGGGCAAATCAAGGCACCTCCCCGGATTATATTCTCTGCATTTTCAAAAATTTTCGTAGTAGAAGAGACAAGATAAAGGCAGAGACAAATTAGTGATTTTTCCATTTATACTCCAAAACAGTTTTTCAACAAATACGGCATTCCTAATAAGTTGGGACCCTGTGCATAATTATTAAAGACCTTGGGTGAACTTTTTATATCAAATTTTTTGTAATCAAATTTTGTTTAGGAAGTTTTCACTGTTAACATCAAACATATTTTGATTTATGGTACTAGTAGATAACAATGTAATAATGTATGTACTAACAATATTAGCTGCTGTCATTGGTAAACATTTCAGCCCTTATAGTAATCTCAAGTCACTTTGTATACAGTATTTACAGGCTGTAACCTTTGACTGGCTTGTTATTTCATTTATTATAATTTCGCAACTTATAAAAATGGACGATATATGTTAGATAACAAATTTACATTGTTGTATTACATAGATGATATTTATGTATTGTGATGTATGATTCATAGGATTTTAATGTTATGAGGTTTGAGTTAGAATTTTTAAATTCCTAAATTATCTACCTTCATAATTCTAGATTCTACAAACTAAAAAAAATGATATACAAATCATTACATACTTTTTTGCCATCAGAAGATATTGGGATGAATGACACAATATGACCTAAAGACAAAGTATAACTGAAAGCAACAACCTTGTTTTTTGTTCTGTACAAACTACATTATAGAGGGCACTATATGAATAGCAATTCCTTAAAAACAGATGCCTTCTGACATGAATTTGCCCTCTAGTCTTCTTTTTTTTTATTGACGTACAGCTGGATGATAAATTGTAAAATGCTAATTTAATTGATTTTGTAGCAGTGTCTCTCTCTTTCCTCTTTACTCAAAGGAGCCTTGTATCAAAGATAATGTGCCTTGTTGTCCTATTCAGAAACTAATTGCTGATTTAAAAATATTTAAAAATCACCTATTTTGTAAAGTAAAAATTCTGCCATTAGTAGTAAATATTTCTGTTTCAATTCTTTGCATATTTTATACATATTTGGAAATGTACAGTGGGGAACTTCATTGTTAATCAGAAAATATTTTTATTTTATGATCTGTTTATTTTGAAGTTGATAACTATACTTACTTAGAACTGAACAATTTAATGTTTGGAATTTACTTTTTTCCCAAACTTTACCACAAAGTTTTAATAAGAAAACAAATCTCTCAAGCATGTGCTCAACAGGTTAATACCTTATAGTCATATGTTTTGGATCCAAAGCTACAATCAGTTTACAGTTTGTAGTAATGTTATAATCATGGCAACAATTTTATTGCCAGCTTAATAAAATCCTAGAAACAAATTACACATGTCAGGGACTTAGGATGGGAATGCGAAAGAAAAAATGATTATCAGCTGCACAGAGCAATAACAGAATTTAGTATGGTCCTTAATACAGTGTATACAATAATTCAAAATGTATTATAAAAACAAAGTATGGTTCTCGGGTAAGAGTGGTCTCTTTGTTTTTTTTAATTGGTCATTGTGGTCTTTCTTTAGTACTTTAAAACTAGGAATACCTAAAATATGAATTCAGATACCTAAAATATTGAGAGTCACCAGAGATAGCACTGTATTACAGCACTATATGAAATGTCTACATGAAACATATTTATAGAGCGTGACCTTTCCAGCGTATCCTAGAAGTTGGCTGATATTCAGGGGCCCTCTTAAATAAATGAAATAAAGTGATGTCTTTATCAGCGAAATCTCTTTATGAGGCTTAAGGGGTGGAGTTGTTTCTAGTTGTGAGAAAAAGCCCTACTATTACAGGAATTGAACCCAGGACACTGGGATTAGAAGGCAAGCATCTAAACCACTAAGCTATTCAACTACACTCCACATCTTATGTTGAACATTTCTTACCTCTAATACTGGTCCAGCACCAAGCAACGTCTGTTCCACTCCCGTTCCATGTCCTTTTTGACTCAACGCCGTCAAATGATGAATTAGAAGGTTTGTACTTTCCGTTTTACCAGATCCACTTTCCCCCGAAATAACCACACACTGGCTACGCTTTTCCTCAAGCATAGCATGAAACGAAGCATCCGCAATCGCAAAAATATGCGGGTCCAGCTCATGAAGCTTGCGATTCTGATAACGATCAACGTAGTCAGGATTATAAATAGGATAGAACTTGAATGGATTAATAGCAATAAGTATAGAACCAACATATGTATAAATTTTACCCTGTTTGAACCGAGTCACTAAATTTTTTAGGAGCAGGTCCTCGTTGAGATCCGGCAGATTGCACAGGTCATTGTATTCCTTCTTGGAATTGATTTGAGGAAACAAATTACTAACAAATGTGTCTAAGGCAAGTGGTCCAGTCTGGTTTACATCTGATACCTTACAAGTAGTATCGTAAATATTCCTAAGGTAGAATTTGTATTTCGATTGGAAAGTTTGACCAGGAACACTGCTCTGGTCCGTGTCCGGCCAACGCTGTTGGATAAGCACAGGATGATCGTTCTTATCCAAACGCTTTTCCTCGATATCATCACCAGACTTGTTAAACCCAACTGTGAGGAAGTAATTTTCAGGCCTTCGTAGACCAAGTTTTGAGGCAAGCTGAAAGACAATATCCCCTACAGAGCTTTGTTTGGAGGCCTCAACAGCAACTGAATTCCTGGTTGGTGCAATGTTACCAGGGTGTACTCGCACCCAATACATCATCTCCTCTTCTTCTGTCTCCATTTTAGAATTGCAGTTGCAGTCCAGTTCCTGAAATGAGAAAAAAATTAACATTAAAAACTCATTAAGCATTTCAATACTAAATGACTCATGGAATATATGGTGACTTTCAGAGAAAACTGATTTGCAATTAAAAATCTGATTTGCATTGTTAGACTACAGTATACGACTTTTACGTTTAAGTCGTTACATTAAGACATTTTAAAACAGACACCGAGTGTTTGAAGTTTAAATAACATTTGCATATACAGTATTTGCTATGTTCAATTGTATAGAAATGGTTGATGATCTTCCAGACCTTTCCGCTTCTGGAGACACGTTTGTGGGATGTTCATGTGCTCTTGGCCCTGCTCTGATTGGTCAGTTATTAAGTTTCACACTCCGGAAAGCTCATTTTATGGAGCTCTTTTCCAATTTTGGTGTCTGTTATGCACAAGCATGTTAAGTTTGTTCATCCTTAAAAAGTTCAGTAACTACATTTTGACCCAGGTAGGTATATGCATGTTCTGTTATATTATGCTACAATAAACTTAGAGTACTACTGTGTTACGTCACAATACCATGTGATACTACTCCGTTGCTATCGGCGACACAATATGCGTTCAACCGACGCCATGTTCCCCACTGACAAACAATTGATCCTAATTTTGTATTTAAGAAGTTGTATCTTAATTTTCTTTTGTAATGTTAATTGATGATTAAATGTGTGTTCGATAACTAATATTATATAACACACCTAAATAGATTCCAGTCATTTGATTGGTTGTTTTTGTACCACGTGACATTAGTTATTTTGCCCATGTCATCGCTCACGGTTTAAATTTTGTTCTATCGTGCATTTTTTACCCATCCAAATCGTCTATTGCACGTTACCTGGGATATGATGACTTTTTCCGGAAGGTTAAATCCAGAAATGACGTTACGCACCCTATAATCTTATCCCTGACTCTCAAGCTGTGGTTTGTATACCTCTGCTTTTCTTAACTTCAGCGTTGTGCGGAGGTTTTATTTACTGTAAAGTATTTTAATTGCGTGGATATCTCAAAAACTAGCTCAAACTTGCGCAAAATCTGTGTGCGGAATATTTCGAAATGCACTGACGGATTTCTAGGCCAGGTTTTGCGTGGAGGATAGGCCTATCCCCTAGGCCTAGGCCAGGCTAGCTAGGACTAAGCCCCTAGGCAAACCAATCTATTTAGGTGTCTTATAAAACAAATAATGAATGGATGCGTCTCTGCCTTATTGAATGGAACAGTCAATATTTCAACTCATAAAAATATTCTTCCCATTGCACTCATAAACATTCATTATTTGTATATTATGCGAGCTTTTTGTGTTTATAGTATATTTTGATGGTAAATTATTAGGTTTTAAAATGCCTATTCCAGAAAGCCTATTCTAAACGATTAAGATTATAAAGTCATTCGGGCGTAATGAATGGTAATCAACGTCCCGAGGGCACCACCTGGTGTTGTGACGACACGACTGTGGTATTCTATGTGATCAACAATATGTTGAATTATGTAGGTGTGGTCTAGGATTCCAAGAGGCAGATCACAAGTGAGGTCAAAGGGCAGAGTACAAAAGAGGTCTTGTATGCATTAAAAAGTTACAGTCACATAGGTATTTAAATATATCTAAGTTGAATGACTATTCGTCCAAAATGGATGAAATTTTGTATTACTCTATTTACCTATTTTCTTACCCTAGTGATTTGGGTCATCAAAAGATTTTC